TTGTGATTATCCCCCTGCTGCAGTTTCCAAAGTGCTGGGATTAAAGGCATACACCACTCTACCTGGCTGATCTCTTTATGTGAACACTCTTTTCTGTTTCTTATTTGCATAGGTTACCATGACAACTTCATATGGAATGTGGTTTTGGTGACTTTTTGGTCATTTGCCTTTGTGTGAATTCAATTAATCTAAATTTTTAGGATTATGATTAATAGCATCATCCTGGCCCAATTTCTATTGATATAACAAAGTGCCCGATGCCGACTAGTATATGAAGAAAAGAACTGTAACACTGGCTTATCATTTGGAGCTCCTGTAGCATGGGGCCAGCATCTGCTCAGCTCTGGTGAGGGCCTCCAGTCACGTCATAATATGGCAGATGGCACCATGGTGGGAGTGTGTCCGAGGTGCCAGAGAAAGAGACAGTACAGCCAGACAAGGAGCAAGAGAGGCTCAGGGACCAGGCTGGGTCTTTTCATAACAGCCCCCTCTCCTAGAGACTCATCAAGGGCTAACCAAGGTATGTCACCTGCTTCTGAGTGAGGGCAGGAACCCAATGACTGCCCCCTTCCTCCAGGCCCCACCTCCTACTGCTGCCACCACTGCTACACCACCGTGCCGGAGACCACGCTTCAGCACATGGATCCCTGGTGGGCAGTCAAACCCTATCGAGCCCACAACTGTGTTAAACACACACACACACACACACACACACACGACACCCCACACACCAACAAAACACCCCTCAGCCTCTTCCCTGTGTTCAGGGAAGGGGTCCCAGTGATCCTCCTGAGTCTCGTCAAATTTAGGCTCTGGTCCAGCAGACCTGGAGTGAGGGCCGAGATTCTGCATACCTGGCCTTCGGGTGAGCCCAGTGTGGTGATCCACAGCTCATGCCTCTTCTCAGTGGCACCTTGCGGTCACCCTTTTAGTAGGTTTCCAAGTACACATTACTCTGTTCAGAGTTCTTCATTATTTTTAATAGTGAAAGAAAGTGAACTTCAATACAGCCTGTTCTAAGGGAAGTACTGCTTTATACAATAGCAGAAACATTCTTGTTAATCCTATGAGCATTTTTGTGAATGATAAAATAGACATCGGTAAATTCATACTGTGGTGCAACCCTGATTCTTAAAATTTTGTCTACTTTAGTTTGTTCTACTGATACATAACAGAAACCCACATTTTGGCTCCAAACTCCTGTCTCCCTCTGCTACATTTTGGTGCCTCTACCCGGGAATATTCATTTTCTCTTTTTAGATGTTACCATCGTTGCCCAATCTTTTCCCTCTTTATATCCGAAACAGTCATTATTGAATTTGTTAAGGGTTTCTCTCCACTTCTTGCAACGTGCTAATCGTCTTGGGGGATACTGATTAATAACCATCTTAATCTCACCCCGGGAAGTGGAGTTGTTACCCGAGCTTCCATTTAGAGACTGAAGAAACCGGTATGGGGCTGAAGAAATCCCTTCCGCGGCTCCCTGGCTGTTCCCTGGGTGTCACAGTGTCGCTTCTGGTTACTTAAACAGAATAAAGTCTACTTAATGCACAGCATGCTTACAGATTTGATTTATTATTCTGCGATCTAGTCTCATACTACATAAGTTATGTTAGTTGGTCCTGAAGAGATTTTTAGGAATAGAGAAAAGCAGTGTTCTGTTATTGGAGAGAAAAGGAACCATGACAGTTTCTCAAAATATTAAATTACTGATTAAGCAAATTAAGCAACAGTCATGGGATTCCTGAAAGAGCAGGAGTGGTGAGGCCCTCTGGGAGCTCACTCACTGCCTTTGCACTGTACTTCCTCGGTAAGCAAAGCTGACTGTCCTCACTGCAGAGTGCTGATCCTTGTCCACACAAGCATGTGGTTGTAAAGGGAGCCGCCATCTTCCTAGTGACCCCAACTCTCAGCCACAGTGATGGTCCGGGGCACAGTGCCCACCTGGCTAACCACGGAGCTCCACCATGTGGTCACAGGTGAGTGATCCACGACTAGGAGCCTACGTACCATGACTCAGGCCATCTTTCCCAGGGTTTCCTCACAGGGGTCTAGGGAAGAGGCCCAGTTTTTTCCACAACCGGGATGGGGTGAGATGGGCAGCTAGGTCTCTGTCCTGTGGCAGGGGAGGAGACAGGGCAGCCGGGAAGGTAGAGAGGGATCTGGAGCCCGAGATGAACTATCCAGCAGGCCAGGTTAACTGTACTCCCTGTGGTCGGTCTCAGAGTCAACTGAACTTTTTGTCAGAGGCAACTGGGGTTGAGTTATTGTTGCCAGAAACCAAATAGTCCCTCCGGTACATGTGACTCAGTCCTGGGGTCCCACATAGGCCAGGAATGGCTCTGCCCCTTGATGTTTCACACTTGGGATGGAGCCTGAGCCGAACACACGTGGGCTGTGCTCAAACCACTTCCCCGGGAGCCACAAGGCTGGACACGCTTTTATAAACCAAGAAACAGGAAACTCAGTAGATGTTTTATTTAAAAGGAAATCTGCACACAAATAAAAAGTATTTGTCTAATTATAATGATGAATAATGAGGTGATCTGTAGCACTAGGACGAAGGGGGTCAATTTGATGAGCCACAAGGTGGGAAGACAAACAGCTCCCTCACCCACCCAGCACCAACTTCCTCCAGCTGCTGTGTCAAAGTAGCACACACTGGGAGCTTCGAACGAGAGAAATGTATTCCCTTGGTTCTCAAGAGCCGGAGATGGAAATCACGATGCTGGCAGAGCCGCAGTCCCTCTGACCTCTAAGGGACAGATGCTTCCCTGTCTCTTCTACTTCCGGGGTTTCTGGGATATGTTGGGTCCCACGCTCCAGGTTCCTCTGCTTCCGTCTTCATGTGGCCCCTTCCTGGGTGTCTGTGCCTTCATCCAGCCTTCACTGTGCACGTGTCTCCTCCTGCAAGGGCTCCAGTCTGGTTAGAATAGGGCCCAGCTCACTCCAACATGGCCTCGCTTTACCTCATTATATCTGCAGACCCGACTCCCAAAGAAGGAAGTCACACTCTAAGAAACGGGGGTGGGTGAGGGAGCTAGAACACGGACTCATGTTTTTGGAAGACTCAATTCAGCCTGCGACAGACAGCACACTCACTCTTAAAACCTATTAGTGACAATAGTAAAGTCTCAGCACAAAGACTGCCCTGGTCAGACTCTGGAACCATTTGCTCCCTGCTGCAAGCCACTCCCTGAGCTATGGGTGTGTCTTTCCTCGCAGGGGAAAGACACCAAGCAAAAGAGGAGACCTGCGTCCTGTGCAAATCCTGCAACAGGTCCTGGAGGGCCGAAGAAGGGTTTACTTCTTGCCTTTCACCTCTCGGTCTCCAGGAGCATCTGAATTGGAGAGACAACGCCAGCAGATCTGCAATCAGTCCTGTATTCTAGTTTCTCTTAGTTTTACACAAGGACAATCCAAAACTGTGCCTGCTGTCCCCTCTCTAGGTGGACTGGGTTTTGCAACAGTGCTGACTGGCTATTTTAGCATCCATCTTCCAGGGCAGGGTGGCTGGACACTTAGGTGCTGGCCACTTTCCTGCCTCCCACGTTTCTTACATGGCTCCTCTGAGTCCTGAGGCCAATAGAGAGACAGTCTGTGAGCCAGCCTGGACCAGCAGTAGGGCAACCACGAGGGTGAGGGTCAACCTGGGCCCGTGACCCTAGCAGAGGCCTTCAAGTCCCTCCCAAGATGAATGCTGGAGGCACAGATACTGTCTCCTGCAGCTGCAAGGCAGAAGGCAGGGGGTTTGGGATCACGTTCATGGAGAAGGTTCCCCCATGGGTACCACAGTCCTCGCTGAACCCGTAGCTCGGAGCCCCTCATTCCCGACCCTCACCCGAGTGTCACCTGGTTCCCGCTGCCCTCTTTACCCATCCCCCAGAACACAGGTGCATAATATTTAGGCATAATATTCTCGGTTAACTTGACACTCAATCAATGGTAACTTTGCTTATTTCCTTTGAATTCAGTTAGTTAACCAGTTTAGGATAATTTTGATATTTTTAAGTCATAAGAAGTTGAGGTGAGGCTCTCTTCTGTTCCCCTGCTTTGAAAGCCCCCATCGCTGAAGTCCTAGTCCCTCCAGCCACCTCCAAATCGGGGCCAGATGTTCCCCAAGGCCCTGTGGAGAGAAATATTTCAGGACCTAGAGGACTTGCGTGGAACTTTTTGGAAAAGGTCTTTCCTGGGAATCAAATGTTTTCCCTGTGTTTTCACACTCACTTGCTTTCTCTCCCCTACTCACCTCTGGCCTCGCCTCCCACCCAGGGAGGGAAAATGAAGCCAGAAAAAGAAAAGATGAGGATGGGAGGCGAGGGCCAGCCCTCTGAGTGCCCTTAGTAGTTGGGGGATTGAGCGCAGAGTGCTGATGAAAGGAGACATGTGCACGGGAACCCCAGCTGCCCCTCACCTTCCCACAGCCTCCAGGGCCCTGGCAGCTGCAGCTGCTTGGAGCACAGTTGGGCTTTGTAGAGCCGGAAAAGGAGCGAGTCAAAGCCCTGGGAATTAGAATGCATGTGTTCCTTGGATCTGCACAGAGGCCTTGGTGGACAGCAGCCAAGCCCCCTGCACCCTCTTCCCTGTGCCCACCAGGCCATCTGCAGCTGTGAAGTCCCAGCTCTGAAAGGAGTCCCAGGTTCCCACCCACCCTCTCCCCTTGTACCCCATAAAGGGCACAGACACCCCACTCTGAAGATAAGGAAACTCAAGCCTGGGAGCTGAGCAGGCTCCCAGCTCAGCCAGTGAGGCTGCGACAGAGCGGGGACCCAGGTCAGGTCACAGCTGAGCACAGGGCCTTCCCCCTGGTGGCCACCACCCTCCTGGCCACTTGGAGACTTAGTGTACTCAGCTGTGCAGTGCTGGAAGGGGCTTTGGGAATGGATGGCCCACTGTGACTTTGCCACACAGGGGATGTTTTGTGTTGTCACAAGGGGAAGCCTAAGTATTGTCAGCTCTGCTGACACTGGGACACAGTACTGACACTCGCCGCTTGATTCCTTCCATGGTCAGCTGGCTCTAAGGGAAAAACGTCATGACCGCAGAGCCTGGCAAAGCAGACACTTAGTTCGTGGAGGCCAGGAGGTAGAGCAGGGGAACAGCGCCAGAGAGGAGGGGTCGGGGACCAGACACACAGACTCCAAGGCCGTGTCCCGGTGAGCCACCCAGATTCACCTACAAGTGTGCTCTGCCAATCCCCTAGATGGACCCAAAGCCAACCCAGACCCTCCACCGAGCCGCCACTGGGGAGTCACTGCAATTTAGCGGGCAAGGGTCAGGAATGCTGATAAACATCCTACCATGCACAGGGCAGCCCCTAAACCAAGAATCATCCATCCAAAGTGTCCATTCTGCTCAGGATGAGAAACTCTGCCCTGTATTACCCTGCCAGAACAAAGCCCTACCTAGCACTATCCTAAATTAACCCAAAACACTGCTAACAGGGAGCCCAGACTACTCTAGCTAATTACGTACCTGTTCATTTGACTAGTACTTACTGGGTGCCAACTGCCTGCAAAGGTTTCCTCTAATTCTGGGGCTTTCACAAGGAACCAGACAGACAGGTTCCCACTCATGTGGGGCTGTTTTCCAAGGGAAGCCAGGGTAGGAGACAGAAACAAAACGAATGAACAGAAAGGAAGTGCCAGACACCGGTAAGGGCCAGCTAGAGAATTTCAGAGAGGGAAGGACATGCTTGATTTTGATCTTGGTCAAAGTGGACCCCCGTAGAGGTGACATTTATGCCTGCCACCTGAACGGCGGGAAGTTGCCAGCCTCAGACAGATCGGGAGCCAGAGGTTTTTAAAAGAGAACAGAGAGAGCTTCTGTAAAGACTTGACGCCAGGAAAGGGATGGACGTGTCTGAGTAACAGACAAAAGGCCGATGGAGGAAAGGAGGATGGGAGCAGACTGGTGGAGACAAGACGTGGGGACTTCTGCACATCAGCCAGGGGCAAAGGGCTCACAGTCTCTGCAGAGTCCCAGGAAACTGAGAAAGAGAGTGATGGGCGCTGGCTTTTGCTTTTAGAAAAGCCCGTACTGTGGGACACATGGACTACAGATGGGCCTCGTGGGCTAACGCGCATCCTCCTCACGAGGTACCTCAGAATGGGACCATACTGGAGATAGAAGCCTGTACTGTCAGCTTTCTCTTCGCTGAGACACAGCACCTGACACACAACTTACAAGAGGGAAGAGAGGTCAGACTGGGCTCTTAGTTTTGGGGGGTTCCATCCACGAGTGGCTAGCGTCGCTGCAGGAGCATCATGGCCGAAGGCTGTGGCTGGGGAAAGATGCTTCGTTCATGGTGGCTGAGAAACAGAATGGGGGAACAGGACAGAGAGGAAGGGGTGAGGGATCAGACACGGATCCCCAAGGACTCACCCCATGACTTCCCAAAGTGTGCCCCACTAATCCCTTGGGGATCCCAAAACTGATCAAGCTGACACCCCACCCTAACCACAGTCTTTAGGAGGTGAACAAGGCAGGCATTCAGGAGAATCCTAACCCTTATGGAAAAGGGCGATCCAGATGGAACAGGAATCCACAAAGGAAAAAAGACATGAGGATGCTGCCAGCAACCAGGGCAGTTCTTCTGTAACCAAGGCACCCAGGATTGTTATGACAGGGATGTCCCTTGGTCATCCCTGGTGAGGGGTGGCTGTGGCTTGGATGAAATGGTTAAAGTAGGATAGAAAGAGCAGAGATGGGGTGCGTGTCCCTGACACAGGAGTTTGCTGATAGAGACAGCACCCCAGGGCAGCCCCAGATTAGCCTTGGGCAACGGAGAACTTGAGGGAAGCAGCCTGGGTGGGAGGAAGAGAGGGCAAATGGTTTGTGCCATTCAATTTCAGGTGCAGCCTGGATTTGGGGCTAAGCTTTCGGCGGCAGCTGGATTTGGCCAGCAAAATGGAGAGCAAAGAAGCTTGGGACGGAGAGGCGCACTTAGTCACACTGGCTTGAAGGCTCCTCCTCCCCATCTGGATATTTTCACCCCTTAACACTCCAAGTCCTGCCCCAAAGTGGCCTTGGAGCCAGCTGACAGCAAACTTGAGTCCCCTGCTCCCAAGTCTTCGCTTCTATCTTTAATGAACTCCCTCTGAGCCATCAGCCCTGACGCCCTCTCCTGTGTGCGGGCAGTTTTGTTGAACCCAATTATTTCATTCATCACCATGGGCCAGTAGCTTCCCAGTCAGAACTCCTGCTCATACAGCAGCACAGCTCAGCTGCCAGTGCTAAGGGCCTGGGAAGGCCTCTCAGGGTGTGAGGGGGCTCAACAGGGGGCCCCTGCTCTGCCAGCTTCAGCCCAATGGACACCCAGGAGGACAGGACTGAGGAGGACAGGGTGAGGGACAGAAGGTGGGGAGGCAATGCAGCAGTGTTTGAGGTAAGCTAGCAGTGTGATTCACTTGGCGCCTCTCCCTGGGTTCCCAAACCCACTTATGCTGCTAGTGTACTTGACCGTGGCCTTCTTGTGGCTGAGAGTGAGCCAACAGCCTACGGTGAAACAGAGAAGTGGGCCACCAAGTCGGTGCCTGGAAGATGCCAGTGACACTGGGTGCATAAGCTGCCCAGGCCCTGAGCCTTCAGTCTCTGTGCCCTATTCTGGGGGACTCATCAGGTACTCACGGCATCCTGGGCACCACAGTGCTATCTCCATAACCTAGGGCCTTTAAACACCCAAAAATGGCCCAAGCAGAAGTGCCCGCTTGTGTGGGTAGGCACGGACTTTTCCCAGCAGGAGGCCTGTGAATGTGGGGGAACAGAGGAGGGAACAAACCAGGGTGAAAGGGACTTCTGCTCCCCACCAGTGGAGCCAGGGAAGGCCGGGGCCTTCACAGCTCCTCCTCCTTGTCGGGTGTGAGGTCCAGGGTTGCATATGGACTCCTGCCCAAGTGGGATCTTACCAAAGGAAGAATTTGTTGTTCTTTTTCTTGAAAAGAAGCCCTCCAACTGCATAAACTTCTGGCCATCTAAAACCTAGATCTGCCTTGACTATCACACACACCTTTGGAACCTTTCCGTATTCTGCCCTATGCACCTATCCCGATTTTACTTTGCCCGCATTGCCCTGTGACAGCCCCGTGGGGGCAGGGAGGGCTGGAGGAGAGGGAGGAACCAGCCCTCCAAATCCCTGATTAGTGGTGCAGTACGTAACACTGGAAGGAAACAGGGCAACTGGGCAGGAAGTGGCCCAGGGAAGCAGCGATGACACCATCTTTCCTGACTTCCTGAAGTCTTGCAGGTGATGGATGAGCGCAGGCCAGGGAAGGGCAGAAAAACCATGGGCAGCCCTGGGCCACGATCCGCGGGTGTCTTCATTCGTCTGGGACCCTGAAAAGGACATAGCCACAGCCATCACTTTTCCTTTTAGGAAGCCCTTCAAAAGCGGCTTTCCTCCAAAGAGCTTTTCAATAAAAATGCTTTCTTCCAATTCTAATGCCGGTCAGGGCAGGAGGGCGAGCCTTGGGACATACACTTTTCCCAGGAGGGGAACAATATCAGACTTGTGTCCCAGTCCCAGCTGCACCCAGGCCCCTACCCGGGTGGCCTTGGACTCCCAGCATAACCCCTCCTACACTCAGTTTTCTCCTTTTTAAAAGAGAATAATCTCCTCTTTCAGATGCTCAAGGAAATATAGCCTCTGAGAGAGTGGTGAAAGCCATATAGTGTACAGAAACATGAAGGGTTTTTTTCTTTTTATCACTAATGCCCTCGTGTTTTGATGTGCTAGTGATGGCTACACTGTAAGCCAGAATGATGGGGGAGCTGAGAGCAAAGTTTTCTGGGTAAATTTCCTCCAGGGCCATCAGTTCTCTGGAGAAGTCACCCAGTTTCAGGTACTGACTCATCTCAGTACTGCACCCATTCGTCCTCCTGTCAAATCCTTTGCCTGGAACGGGTGGTGCCTGACACAGCCTGCATTTCTCCTCTGTCTTTATGCTTCAGCCCTGCTTGCTGAATTCACGGCTTTGTTGAACCAAGCCTGGGTGGGCATGTGCTGCCCCATGGGCACCTGTGGCTCTGATCGTCACTGGAGCAGCTCAGCCTGATGGGGAAAAACAGTTGGTGTGACTTGTAATGCAGTTGGTGTGACTTGAATGTGGCCCCGACGTCATGTGCAGGAAACTTACACTCTGAACTCGTGTGCTGGAGATGTCTGGAGGCAGGGACTTGGGCAGGTCGTCAGGATAGTGAGGCTATGGGCCAGGGCCTCCATGTTGGTTCTGGTGGCTCTGCAGGTGCAAGAGAGGCCTGAGCTGCAGCCTGTGCCACGTTCCTGTGTGCTGTCACCATCATAAGGCAACGAGGGGACCGTGCCACACTCCAGCACCATGCCTCGGACTTCTTAGTCTCCAGAAAACACATTTCTCTTCATTCTAAAACAGCCAGTCTGTGGAATCCAATTAAGCAGCAGAAAAGGGACAGAGACGGTAGGGAAATAACTGCAGAGACAGAGTGTGATTGATTGCACTCCTAGGTTCATTAATATCATCTTATTTCTCTTCCCCGGGTGCTTCCCATTTGCACATGCCTCTGAGACGACCGGGGTTGGATGACTGTGGAAATTGAATTGGAAAACACAGTCATCACGTGAAACAAATAGATCACTCTAAGACGGATGCAGTCACTACAAGTTGAAATAGGTGGTGATCCGCCTCTAACCTGTCCTACAGTGTCCCAGGGAGTATAAGGCACGACTCAAACAGAAACAAAGGCAAAATTGCTGGTGGACTAGACATTGAAAGATGGTTAGCAACTGATGATCTTTAAAGAGTTGAAACCAGGGACTTCATTTTTTTATATAATTCATGCATGGACATCTTCATCTTGTAAGATTAGCATAGTCATATAAGTTGGCTGTGTGTTAGACCACTTCCAAAAACTTTTTTTGGGAGGAGGTGAACGCAGAACTATTTGACCAAGGTACATTGTTCATGTGACAGTTTCTTCTCTGCTTGAAGCAGCAGACTGTAGCCTTACTGTTCACTTTCTCGCTTGATACTTTCAGAAGGAACACAACTCTAAAAGTGCAATCACAGAATGTAGCAAAATATCCTGTGGAATACCACTCCCTGAGAATCCCAATAGGGAAAGACTTGGCAAGGATTCACTCTGGGAGAGCTTCCTGCCAGGAATGTGAACTTCAAATCCACTTGCCAGCTGGGCTACAGGCACAGAGACCTTACCTTTCCAAAGACTTGGGCTCAAATCTCAGCTCTGTTACTACCCAGCATCTGGGGTTAAGTACTTGGCTTCTCTGAGCCTGTACTTTCTCAACTAAACTAGAAGTAGGTGTTCCTATTATGAAGGCTGCAGGGAAATTCACTATAGTATTGTGTGCAAAGCTCAGCAGTGTTTGCTCATTGGTTATTGTTAACAAATACTCTCTGTAAGAGTTCTTTGAATGCAACATGTTGCCAAGATAAGAAGAAAAAATTGGTGTGGCCAGAGTGTCTACACAAAACATCTCACCTAGGTGTGATCTTATCTGGGACAAATGACGAATTCTTAGCTGGACAAATCCCCCTGCCCTGCTCCTCTGAGGAGTCTCACCTTGGTTCCTCCCTCAATCCCATGTAAGTCACGATTCCCTTTGGTGACCCCAGCTAACTGCCCGACTTCCTTTACCCCGAGAATTTAATGCAATCGACAGCCCTTCTGCCCCACTTAAAGTTCGCAATTTAAGTAAAATCCATTCCTCGAACGCAAGGTGTGATCAAAGAATACTGCGGATATTAAAACTTTTTTAAAAATTTTTATTACAGGAACAGTCACATTGGCATTAATCCTGCTCAAGATACTCCTCCTCCCTTTAACACACTCATGCCATCATTCTTGCCCCCTTCTGAAGCAGTTCTGGAAATGCTCTTTCATGAGGTCTGTAATTTTCCAACCATGGCTGCCCGGGTGTCCCGAATCCATTCGGAACATTGACCTTTCATGGTCATTTTGGCTTTGGGGAAGAGCCAGAAGTCGCACAGCGCCAGATCCCAGGTGAATGAGTTAGACGAGGACACGCTGTCCTATTTTTATTTGACAGAAACTGCCATAACTGTTTGGTCAGCATCAATGATCATAAAGCACAGCAACTATTTAGATTTAAAATTTTGTTACAATAAAATCCAGGTCATCAGCTCAAAGCAAAAGCTGGGAGTGGCCTGGACTTTGCCCCTCTCATCAGAACACGGGCCACACTGCATCCATGGTGGCTCCTTTACCTGACTGAGAAACACCTGTCCCAGTGGCCCTCCAGCTCACGGGGTGTGGTGGGGCACAGCAGGCCATGGCCCCCATTGTCTCCAGGGTCATCCCAGACAGGAAGACTCTGGCTATTACTGCGCCTGCCATCATTCACAGCCTCATTTTGTGTGCTGCAATTTCTAGCCTTGCTCAAAATCCTGCCACTAATCTCGGGCTCTGAAAAAAATCTTTCTGCCGCTTGCCACCACTGCAAAACAGCCTGCTTTTAATAAACAAGTTGTGACGGGTAGCGGGAGAGGAGACAAACAGCCAGTGGGGCCCCGTTTATCTCGTATCGCTCTCTGTGCAGCCTCTAGGCCCTTACTTCTGCCCTGGCCAGCATTCTCATTGGGCCCTAACTCATTCAGTCCACAAAGAAAACATTAAATAAATCCATGCATTCAAAACTATGGCACATAATGCAGTACAATGTGCCCTGAGGTATCTGCATTTTTAAAACTGGAACTTGAGGGTTATTTGAAATTAGTGGTTTTCAATGTACTGTTGGTTCTTTTTTAATTTGTATTTTCTTAAAATATATATTTTCAGTACATCCTAATTACACTCATCTTGGGGTACATATACGTATACTTGATTGCTTTATCGTTTTTAGGGTTGAGATTGGGTGTCTTGGTTTCTTTTCATGAGAGAGAGATTTCTGAAAAGAAGCGTTGAGGAGAATGATGGCTCTCAACACCTCTATGTTAGGGCTGCTTGGGGTCCTGAACATGCTATTGCGAGTCACCCCTAAGAGGGGCCCAGACCTCACTGACCAGGAAATTGATGAGCTCACTCGACTGTAAGCCAGCTTTCGCTCAGACTTGAAGGTAAGTGCACAGATACAGCAGAAGGGCCTGCTGG